TAAAGTTATGTCATTCTCTTCGATTTGAAGGAGACTAATTCTTATGTTCTTGAATATTTCTTACTTCTAATAAGGTGAAGTAAGAAAGAATATGTAAGGAGACTTATTCTTATTTTATTGATTATTTCTTACTTCTAATAAGAATAACACTATTTTTAAAATATAAAAATTATAATATCGTGTCCAACCCATGTCCTATATTTTCAATAATTGACGTGTCTCGCGTCCGTGTCGTGATGCCGTGTCGATGTCTGTGCATCATAGATTAACATGCCTACCTTTTGGTAAAAAAGCACATATTAGTATTATTACATGAAGGGATGGTCCTCCTTTGGCACCTGTTCACAGTTTTTTCTAGAACCATCAGAGCATGGGTGAACTTTAAGTATCGTATGACTCATGAACATGGACTTGAAGATCATGTTGTTTTTCAGCTTCTAATTCAATCATGCTGGGCATAAGCACCACCTTCTGATGACTAAATTCTAGAGTTTATGTATTCTTGTAACCATCATAGATAGCATGCCTATCATATTGCCATGGTCTCCCTTGTAATAAATGACAAGCATCCATCAGAATGATATCACATAATACTTCATCTTGAAATTTCTTGTCAATGAAAAAGTGCACGAAACATTGTTGTACCTCTCTAATTACATTTTACTTCCGCAGCCATGAAAGCTTGTAAGGCATAAGATGATCTTTTGTGGGAAGGTTCAATTTTCTGCATTTTTAGTGGACATGACCTTCTTACAGCTTTATCAATAAATGGTGATATTGCATACTTTTCCTTTAATGGTGCACCTCATATGGTTTGGTCAAGTCATTTTGAATTTTTATCTAACAATGCTCAATACTCATTGTCAATAAATAATTTTCTCTCTTTCAAATATATCAAATGCTCGCATTCGGTTTTGGTGCTTTTTCTTCTTCATCTTCATTTTATTGTAGGATTTCTACTACTTGTGAAATAACTCGATGATTGGGATAATTTGATGCAATGTGACTCAACTTTTGACATCTAAGACATTTGATAACTTCGATCTTGTTTGTGGGATCACTTATTTTGTCACTATTGTAACATGGTATCAATCATATGGAACATGTTGGGCTGGAAAATAGTTTGTCCTTTCTCAAGTTTCATTATTGATTTTGTGCAGTTCTTATACCAATCTTGGTGGGTAGCTCTTTGGAGTATGTTGCATTTATCAAATTTGAACGCTAGTTTGATAAGTTCAAAGAGCATTTAGTATTATTGCAGCTACATCATATTAGTGATTGCGGAACATAAACCACCTATGAACCTTGCTATGGTCTGCTTTTATGGTTCTATTACTTAACACTTCAATATATGCTGCTCAATTCAACAATATATTCTTCTATAGGTAGCTCCTGCAAAAAATTATGGATCTTGTGGAAGGCATCTTGAGAAAATTAGATGACAAAGGTCTTTTTTATAGCTGCTTCTTTTTATCCTATGAAACTATCTTACTTTTATTATTCCTAGTTAAATTGACCCACCAAGTAGAAGCTCTCATTTTTAGCATAATGGATAATAGCTATACTCACCTATCAATGCGTATTTCCTTGCAATCAAATATACACTTGTTTGTATATAATCAATTAATAAAATCATTCGGATTCAATTCTCTCTTGAAATTTAGAATATCAATTTTCATCCTGAAATCTTGATACTACTTGGAAATCTTTGATTTGGTTTTTCCACTTCTGATAATTTTTGAAACACATGATAAAAAGGGTTCTGCATCTCTCTTTCTTCTTGATTGCCATCTTAGTTGAGAGAATGCGCTTCACATTTTCTCTGCTTGCATGCTGTAAGATATAAGCACTAGATTTCTCTTTGCCAAGGAACTGACAACTGGACCGTTTTCTGCTAAATACATCCAGCTTGTTGCAAACTATACTGAATTCCTAACCTTAAACTAACTTTTTTTTTTTTTTTTTTTACGCACTTGACTGGATAAATCCAGTCAACAAGTTTGAGTCTTTCTTAAATCAAGGAGAGGGTTATATTCCAACCAAAAGTTTTTTGATATTTTTTCAAGAAGACATCCCATTGCCGTTCCCTGCACTTGGTTTCAGCAACTATTGTTCCCTGCAAGGAAACAGGAAAATGGATAGGTAGAATGTCTGTACACAAGAATTAGCAATGATAATAGAATTAAAAGAAAACAGAGTTTCCCTTTTGTCAACCTTCCTAGAGACTCCTTGGATTCTTGATGTTCTGGATTGATAAATAATCTGGAACAAGTCTTCTTAACAACTTCAGGTATAGCTGCTCTTACCCCTTTTGGCTGGCTGGCTGAGACTCTATAAGGTTTGTGGATGCCCTCTGTTCGTTCCCCCTTCTCTTAAGCATAATTGCATCCCTTCTTGAATGCCACCTGCATGTCCCTAGATATTTTTGAAGCCCCATGGCTCAGCATAGCAGTTCATATCATTGTTGGAGATGGCAGAGTCTTAGACTCCACTGTGAACATGATGCAGGACATAAATGCAACAAATATGATTTGATTAAGAAATTTGGATGCTTAATTTTTAGAAAACAATAACAAGCAAAAATCTTATATTGATTTAAACGATAAGATAAAACATGAAGGTGATAAAATAAGCTAAGGCCAAATCACATGCGTAGAAGCTAAGATCATAAAATTGTTAATTATTCTAACGTTGCATATATGTGAGGTTTTCAACAAAATTCCTATGCTAATAATAAGATTAATCACTATGCAAGGATTCCTCACTCAGCTCCATAAATTACTATACTTTAGCGGGGCGATCAAGAAGACTCATTGTGAATCAAACTATAAACACAATTGGAAGGTGAATTAAGAAGATATAAGAGTAGGAAGAAAAGCTACCAAGGGAACGACAAATACGGCGCTCCAGTGTAGTCGCTTATGCGTTTGAGGAAGAGTGGACAACAACTTCATGTTTGGGAGCCTTTAGGATGGCGATGGGGAACCCTCTGAACAACGAGACAACCATAGGAGGTCCACCAGAATGATTGGACAGCAGCTAGGTATGCCGAGACAGCAGTAATGAGGGTCGGGACAGCAATTCGGCACTTGAAATACTTCTAGACAGCAACCCAAACAGCTTCCTGAAAATCTGGGCAGTAGTTGCCACGTCAGAGAGGTCTTTGAACAACAAGGAAGACCTTTTGGAATTGCAGGACAAAAAAATAGGCTTGCTGTGAATCTTGGACAACAGTTAGTAAACTCCCAAGGAGAAGAAATTTGAGGCAGAGGTTTTTGGATAGGTCAGATAGGGTTGTAATTGGTTCTCTTAGCTCTGAGATTAATTCTCAGATTTAATTATGAAAGAACAAGGGTTTGAATTTTGAATTCAAACTAATGGGAGGGAAAGGGCAATCTTGTTCATAATTGGGTGGTTTGATTGAGGTAATTATGGAGAAGAGAATTAATGTGGGAGGGGAAAAGGGGAGAGAGGAGCCGGCGGTATGGGGATGAGGGGAAGGGTTTGGGAAATGTATTAAATGCTTGTTTAATGTAGAACTTCAAATTAGAGAGGAGGATTTAATTCCAACCAAATTAGAAATTAATTTGGATTGGATCTGAAAACTTTCCAAAAATAGAATTCTAAATTTGGAAAGATTTCAAAATTCAAAATTGATTGACTAATTGACATCAAGGCTTTCCAAAGGAGGTTTGGTGGAAAAGGAAAGTAATGAGGAGGGTTTGAAATTTTGGAGGCAAAGGGAATTGGGAGAGGTGGCCGAAGGCTAGTTCTTGGTTATGGTTAGGGTTAAATGGTGGTGGGGTTTGGGTGGATCAACCAAACAAGGGATGAGACACCTTGGATGGCAGGCGGCTAGATGGAGTAGGTGAAGGAGGTTGGCCGGTGGTGGGGTTTGCGTTGAGAGTGGAGGGCCAGTGGTTTAAGGGTTCGAAACCCTTGGTTGACGGCAAGGAGAGAAGGGAAAGGGAAAGAAAAGAAAAGAAAAGGTAGGGAAGAAAAGAATCACGAACCCGGACGCTTCCAAGGTTTGTGGGTGATCCGTTTCCCTCTCATAGGGATTTCTTTCCAAAGCTCTCAAGCTTTCACGAAAGACACAAGTTGCAGAAATTTCTTTGTAATTCATTCATTAATCTCAAAAGAAACTTATGAGGCTTATATATAGCCTTCTACAATGAAAGGGAAATAAAAGATGACATTGCCCCTAGGGCGTACAGACGATAAAACCCTTAAGGGCACGATGGGAAAAACTACTAAAGAAAATACATAAAGCAACTAAATAAAACAAATACATATGAAGATTAAAAAGTAGATCGGCGCGATTGTGGCCGTCAATCGTCAGCCACGTCTCTGAAAAACCTTTCAGGATTTGATGTCCGCATCAGAACACTTCCCTCCTCTTGAAATTGGAAATCATTTCCAAAATCAGGATGACCCGAGACATCTTCACCAAAAGCAGAGAGAACATCAAGAGGGTGTGTCCTTAAATAGAGTCCGAAGCCCCTCATAACAACTATTGTTATTGCTGAAATACCCTACTTAACTAAAATATAAAAGCAGCCCCTGCCAAAAAAAAAAAGAAAAAAGACAAATAACCTTATTAAATAAGTCCTCTGTAAAACTATATCAATGGAACATTGCCTAGTGATAATTAAAAGTATTTCTGGTGGTAGTTTATTGAGTTGTGGTTTTTTCCCTTTCTGCTGCGGTTGGGTTTAGGATAAGTGGGAGAGAAAAAGGATAAATCCATCTTCTTTTGTTAAAATCTATATACCGTAGTGGATATGCAATGCATCCATGTTTCCGGGATGACTTCAAGTTTAATTATTTATGCCTGTTTTATGTGAACATGCCATTATAAATGTTGTGGGCTTGCTCACTATTTATTTGCTTGTTTGTTTAGAACTATTCCCACTTCGCTATTTAGGGTCCTGGTGTGCAATAAAGCTGAATATCATGTTGCTGATAATTTCTTCAATTTTTCTTTTTTGCTTCTGCAGCTTGAGGTGCCGAAAGAGTTGATAACATTGTCAGAACTGGAGGACTTGAGATTACAACGTAAGCCCGCTTTTGTTTCTTTAAGCAAAGAAGTGGAAATGATAAAACGGTTTGACAAGGAAACTGGCATCATGCAGCGCTGCCTTTCAAATGGAATTCCTGTTAATTACAAGGTATTTCTGATGTTTTGTACATTGATATGCTATTTTTTTTTTAAAAGTTGCACCATTAATGTAACTATATATGCCGACTCCACTGCTACTGAGGGATGTTTCAAGATAAAGTATTTGTTGAAATCTAAAGTCTGGAATCGACTAACATCTAAAGAAACAAAGCAATTAATCTTAAATATGAATGAAAATTTATTTTATCTTACGTGATGAATGCAAAACTGGTATCAAATATGAAAAAGATATGGATGATGGAAGCCAATTAACTTACTACCACACTTAAAGGAAATTGAGAAACTAAGAGATTGGAGGTATTGAAACCCCAATCTTAGAAGAACAGGAGATACAAATGGTGGTCTACCATTCTTCATGTTTCCTTAAAATTGGTGCATAATGTAGATTTTTAGTTATGATTGTATTTAATATTACAAATTTATTTCCATACTAATACAAATCTACAAAAAACTTTGAATGGTGAAAAGAAGGATATGATGAAGATAGACAAGATGAGTATTTTCTAAGGATTAAGTGCTATGCACAATGTCTCTTTCTGTTTTGATGTGCAGAGCACAAAGTGAAGCGGCACTTTTATGAACTAAATTGCTCATACCTTGCATATCGTATATACATAGAATAGGCCATTTAATTAACTAAACTTAAATCACATCAAATAATTATTTTGAATAAATATAATAATATATTAAATAATATTAATTTTTAGCTAGTTGACAACCAAAAAAAAGTTGAAAGGCATAAATAATAAAGTGATGAAAGAATAAATAAAAATCATGAATAGTTATGAAAGGAGCGAATAATTGGACAAAGAGATGGAGGTAGTGTGAAGTGAGAAAGTGAAAATATGAAACATCAAGAAGCCTTATGGAGTAGAAGCTTATGAGAAGCGTTATTGTTAACAACAAGAATCGGTGAGAAATGTGAAAGGAAAATAGTGAACAAGAGAGAGTGATGTGAAGAACCACCAAAGAAAGATTAGTTCCAGCTTGAGAAAAAAGGAAAATCAATGAGTAACAACTTAATTGCTACGAGAAATGGTGAGCATAAGCGAATGCTCGTGCCTAGCTATTGCAACAATGCTGAATTTAAGTATGAAAACTGAACCATTTTGTTTTAGGTGGGGGTAGGGGAGGAGTGACCAAACCCCAAGGTATTTGCATAACAAAAAATTATGCAAATAATCCTCCAGAAAAAAGAAAAAAAAAATCAACAAAGCATGTGAATTAAAGGACCAAGGCAACAATCTCCACCATAGTTCTTTAGTTCAATAGGATAAAATAAACTAACATCAAGATTTCTTTTTCACTGACCTCAACAATGCAAGCAATGCTGAAATTTTCCTTCCAAATGATTGTGTTTACAAACACCTTAAACACTTAACCAGGAACATATCTTCGAGTTTCACAACATTCTGCAAAATCCGAATCTACAAATCTAATGATAACATGATTCATAGTATCAAAATTTTCACTCCTCATTTGCATGGTCAGGGTTCCATTGAAGTACTTTAACTTCCATTTTGTAGCTTCCTAATGTTGTCTACTTGGTTCAGCCATGAACCTCATTACAATACTGAATGAATATGGAAAACTTGATCTACAACAAACCATAGTATCCATGACACTACTCACAATGTTTTGATATGGAATCTTCTTTATATATAATCTTTTGTCATTATCTCCCAATGCTTGATCCTTGCCCAACTTAAAATACTATGCTAAATGTGTAGAAACAGGTTTAGAAGCTGACATCCCATAACTGTGTTGAGATAAGAATAATTCAACCTCTCTTCGTTTTTTAATGTTTTATATAAATATTTGCATTAGGAAGCATAGAAATCACTTGATACTTGAGTTTGAAGATAAGATGAAGGTCGTAATTTTGGAATTTATTAAAAGAGATTTCAGAAACATGTGACACTTGAGGCATATGTATTGCAATGGACTCATGAGATAAGGAAAATGATTATGATTATGACAACTTCTTTATTGAGTACCTCCATCTCTCTATCCTCATATAGTTTAAAAGATGAAGTGATGAACATTTGCAGCATTATTTATCTTTTTACATCTCTTTACTATTTAATTTTTTTTTGCTTCTTATTTTATCCTGGTTTCGCAAACTTGGTGATAGATTACAAAAAATGAAGCTAGAGGTGGTATCATGCGACTTATTGTGGGTGGTGGAAGAGCAGCAGAAACTTCTGATTCAAAGGGATCAATTGTTGTAGGAGTTAGAACGCTCAGTGAAGGGGGCTGTGTTGGCAAATTTTCGAGGGAACAGGTTTGATGTAATAGATGCTTTGTTTTGGTGACTCATTATTATGAAAATTAGAGTACAGCTTTATATGATATATTTTTTGGCTGTTTTTTCTTATCTTTTTTCTTTTCAAGTATTTATCTAATAAGACTTCTATGTGCATAAATGTTCTGTGTTGTGGAGTAATTTCATGTTAATGGAAGTTTCTAGATGATTAGTAACACATTATACCTAAGCTTATGAAGTTAGGATTTACTTAACATATGCTCTTAAGGCTTGAGCACATTAGGCAATCCAAGTTTCACATTTTTAAATCCAACTTACTCTTCATCAACATTACTCTTGGCAACTAAAATTTTGGCATGAAGTTTGCATTTATCTTGTTTGTTGAACTGATGTTATGACGGAGAACCAAAAGTGTAAATTGGATTTAACAAAATTTTATTAAACATTGGCTATGTTGTAGATTTATGACTTTTTTATCATTTGTTTAGTAGTTTGATGTAGTTCTAATCATATTATTATCACTCATGATGTTATTTTTTTCCTTTTTATAAAACAATGTCAACATGGAGGTTAATAGTGATAAGCCAAATATGTTTGTTGAATGTAAAATTGTATTTGCCATGTTAAAATTCTTAGAGAAAGCTGTGATAGATTGGATTAGAACGGATATACAAGAGAGATGAGAACTTGCAATGACTTTAAAATGTGCTTAAAGAAAATTATCACCTTTTTCATATCATTGATCATCTACTTGATGAATTTAATACTTTAAAATAAGAAACAAAACACTATTAATTAATATACAATTAAATTTGAGCGATTATTAATATTTTTGATATAGTAGGAAATCACAGAGGAATATTTTCTAGTTTTAGATACGGATTGATATTAAAAACGAGTTGAAACCTCATTTGCTTACACCATTAGAGGATGCTTCCCAACTTAAACATGTTGAGCAAATATTCTAATTATTTCTTGTTACTATGATATGTGTTACATGTAATGGAAACTATCTTTTTAAATATCCAATATTAAAATAGTGCATCTAAGGACAGTAACACGACTTTCAAAAAAGATAATAAGAAAAAATCTATTGCTACTAAAGCTTGTTTTAAAATTTTTGTGAAAATTTGTTTTAAATGTCATCAGATTATTCATTATGGAAATGAATGCGAAAGTGAAAAATTTTACCTGTTGTTGTAGAAGAGGAGGCATGTAAAGGAATTAATGAAGGAAAGAAAGGGCATTCATGAATTTGATTGAGAAATAAATGATTTTGAAGATGATTTAGTGGAATTATGTTTAAATGTTATGAGATGTATTATGTTTACTCCTTAAATTAACTTCGATTTAAACAAAAAAAGACTTGTATATTTTTAAAATATTTAAGCATGATAATAAATTTCACAAGGAATATTTTGATTACTTTTGGACTGATCACATGAAATTAAAATTTGAAACAAACTTGGCTACTTCATTTCTTGTTATATAGATGTTTAATATTGATTCAATTTTCTACTTATAGTGACAAGCTTTGATGTGATTATATGCATGGAAATATCACATGTGATGTTAGGTCGTTTCTTATTATGTTATCTAAATCTTACATATGAATTACTGTCTCTTAGAAGCATGCTAAATACTATCGACTTAATTCTTAGATTATTTTCACCTAATTTTTCACATTCTAAGAAGAGTCCAACTTAACATATTGATCATATTAAACATAAATGGCAGTAGATGATTAACTAAAGTAGGCATTTATTAGTGAGTTTTGTATCTTTTCCAGCTCCTTCATTTACTTAAACCTAAGAAAGATAGATGTGAGTGTTTGTAAACAATAAACTTTTAAATAAAAATATAGGGACAATAAAAATTCCTAATTAATTAAGGAAAAAGTTTGCACAAATCCTAAAGCAATTAAAAGAGACTCGATTAACCATGAATTTCACATAACAAAAATAATTCCGAAGCCATGCAAGCTCAAAATGATACAAAAGTACTGCCTAGAATTTTGTCTCATCAAAGCGAATTCAATAATTTCATAAACATCCAAATCCTGGTACATAAGGTGGCCTAATTGAATCGAATTAGGGGGAGGGGGGATGGCTCAACCTTGAGTGTATCTTTGTTGAGGGAAGTGCATCGCTCTATCCAATTGTATTGATCGTGCTCTTTAATATGCAATTAATTTGACTAGAATTTTCCTTACGGAGCTTTTGCAATCTCTTTGAATTTGTGTTTTATAAGTTGTTTATAACAAATTATTGTTCTCAATGTGATGAATATTTTGATAAAAGAATGATAGTCTATCATCATGATATTCTAGCTCCCCAAATTTGAGAATTGGATCTTGAAATTTTTCTTGTAAATCCACTTTTTAGAACTTCTATTCGTTGCCTTCGTTGGATTCATGACATCAAGATCAATATTATGTTATGTTTAGTTCATCTTCTGCCATAAAGTTAAGTCACTTTTGCTTTTAAAGAAGATTGTCCTCACCATTCTTAGTTGCATCGATGATCTTCCTCTATATTGTGACCTACCACACCAATGTCATGCACATCACTATTAGGATGACGGTCTTGATCATTCTTTGCGGCCTCCTTGATCTTTTAGTCTCTCTTCATCCGTCGCCCCAATAATTTGTTGCCTTAACTTTTAAAAACAAAATCTTCTCAATTATCTTGTGACCTCCCCGAGCTTTATCTTTTAACACCGACTCTTGCATTGCATTAAGGCTATGCTGCCATTTATAGGATGTGAAGGACTACACTAACTCTTGTCAATGGTCTTCACAACCTTTTAGCGTTGTCTTATTCATCATTTCATGATCATGCCCCATGAGGAAGGCTATCTTGACCATCCTTAATGGCTTTCCCTTTGTGAACTTTTAGTGCCATTTCATTCAGTACTGTTTGATTTTGTCAACATAGCTTCTTGAAGAACTATCTTGGTTCTTGACACTTTTATTGCATTATAACATCGAAGATATTAACAACAACTTACTTTGTTTTGTCACATTCTTTGAGTAATGGAAGGACTCATTTAGTCTTAGTATAAAAATTATTGTGCCCTAGCTTGCTCCTTTTTTCTTCAATTGTGCGAGTCGCCATTAAAAGCTAATGATAATTTGAACCTGTCTATAATGAATATTTGTAGTCTTGTCTTCCTTTAGCCACAAAAGGGACCTTGAGGTACCTTGTCTTCTAGCTCAACCTTCGAGAAAGGGTGATGCAACTCCTCAGCAATATCACAAAATCTAGCCATGACATCTCCATAGGTTGCAAGTCAAGAATTATGGACATCCTCGATTGCATTCTCAAAATGACATTCACGTCAACAATTTGGTATGATTGTGATCATGTAATATATTCCTACTACCTTCAACAAATACTTCAAGCAAGAAAGTATTAAATTCTTTGCTAACACCAAATCTTGTCCTTCATTCCCACAAGTTAACTTCTTTGTTGGCAGAGAGTTTCTTTGCTATATTGACAAAAAAATTCCTTTTTTGTTGGTACAATGTTACAACATTTATTGAGATTATGTTTTCTGGTCATACCTTTTATCAACAAGTTTTATATACTTCTCTTCCCTAATAAGTCTTTGTGAATCTTATAACAAAGTTACACATTTATTGCTTGTACTATGGGAATCTCCTAAACCAATGTTGCAATAATCTTGCTTGCATAGTGGCCTTGGATGCCTCTGGATCCATACCACAAGCTCTCTTGTGCCAAATGTTGGTGGAATTGTTGTCATTCTTAACGGATTGAAATATTTTGTGATCGAGTATGACATAGAAAATAATATATTATCCTTAAGAATAAAAATATTATTTAACTATGGACTCAATAACAAAACTTGCATTTTTATAGTTTACTAGATTTTTTTCTCTACCATATATGTTTGGTTGCATATGATTTATTTTATTTTGAGGTATTGGTTCCTTATAGGGGCAAGCCCTTATGATTAATTTCATCCAATAATTTGCCCATTTGAAAAACTTCTGGTTAAAATAATGGCTTATATCATTTCATCAAAATATTGGCTAACATTTTACATAATTTTTCGAAGTTCTTATCAAATATTTGATCTTAGGTAATTTCAAAGGGATTAGATCAACTTCAAATCAAATTTTTTAATGGAAGTCAAATGAGGAGGAAGGAGCACCGAATTTGGAGAAATTCGGATGTACTCAAACTATGCTATATTGGATTTTACATTCTTAAACTTATATTTGTGATATTGTTGACTAATTTAATCTAGAATGTTTGAGCTTAAATTCCAATAGAAAGAGTTGGAGGAAATACATAAGAAGGCGAGGGCTTATGATGTAACTGAAAGAACATTCGCCTCAGATACTTATATCTAAGGAGAGAAACACTGAGATGTTGTAACACCAACCTAAATCTAATGGAATGCAAAGGGATCTGCAAAATTGAAACCTCACCTAAAGTTAAGTAAGCTTGACTCTTAATTTATAATCCTACTACTAGTTAACCACCTAAGGGCTTTCATAATCATGAAATTTAGTCTCAATGCATATGTATGATAGGCAAGGCTATTTTGATTTTGAAAATATGGCTTACGATTTGACCACTTAAGCCAAGGTACCTGACCATGTAGGTCTAAATGTGAAGGCTTCTATATGTGACTCACTTGGCCATGACATGATTATTTTTTTATTTTTTGAAAAACTTGACATTTATTTATAAGCAAAATAATTTTGTTAGAAAATAATTGATATCTTATAGTTGGTTTTCTTAAATTGTTTAAAACTTTAACTGTTTGAAAACATAATTTTGTTATAAAAGCGTGCTGCATAAAACATGTCTAGGCTAACCCCAAACAAAGCAAGAGATAAAACGTTGGATGAAGTATGCATTTCTAATGCGCACTCATTATAAGAAATATTTTACAACAGAATAATGTAGGATAGTTCAAATATTACAATAAAAAATGCAGTAAAATAATAGTTGAGTTGTTTACTTTATACACCCAGTTATAATTTGCAGACTCAACTTGTGAGTCTTGAAGCTTTGGCTTCTGATGCATACAAGGCTTCACTTTAAGATTCATCATTTCTATAGTTGTGTCCCACAAGCCCATATGACTTCCTAAATTAATTACATTTGAAAAGCAAAAAAAGACTCAAACCTATAATTTAACATTAGGAAGCACATGTTGCATATAAAAGAAAGAAAAGATCACAAATTTGTTTGGTAGTTAAAGTGCCAAGCCAACTTCTACTCTATTAGCTCTTACCTCTTTGGGGCTTTCAAATAACACCTACAAGTAAACATTATTAGGTAATAATGATTTAATTATTTGCCCCCTTTTGAGCATACCACTTGCATGAAAAGTATGTATATTTATATCCTAACACATAAGAATAAATGCCAAAAATATAGACAATCTAATATTCATTACACCAAAAAAATCGAATACATGCGCAAAAAAGGAAGAAATCTAATTAAGTTTTCCCTATATTTAATGTGGGATCATTTGCTAATTTTGATTCAACAAATGGACTTAAGTGAATTTAGGAGCCTCTATATTTTAGGACTCAATGCTCTCTTAATTTCTTTAAAGATCATTTAGGAATCTCTATATGAGTTCAAGAAGGCACTGGGCAAAGGGGGAAGTGAGCCAGGGTAATTTTGGTTGAGTTTAGTTCTACTTGAACCAGGGCAAACTTAAGATCTTTCTAAGGCTATAAAAGTTCCTAAGATATGCTAGGGGATCATGTAGTGTGATACTTAAATCTTTAGGGAGGTAGGGAGCTTCAAGGCACATTGCATGAAATGAAAAAGAACTCCTAAAGGATGTTTCCCCCTTTTAAGAAAGTTTTGGATTCATTTAAAGTAGAAAATATTCATTCTAGCCCTAGGATTAATTTTGTCATAATCTAAGGGATTGGATGTGCATCAAATGATTTCTTGATGTTAGGAGTTTTGATAATGTGAGCGATTGATTGTTATTATCTTAGCATTCAAAGTTTTGTAAGTGCTCGATGATGAACCCGATTGACTCTATCCATCGTGGAATTTACAACATAGGCTTTCGAGGGCCTATGAGAAATCTCACAAACAATTAAGGGATTTTTTGAATTATTCAAAGTTCATTTCCGGGCATTCAACAAATCTTTGAAAATCCATTAATTTTATCGTGTGCAAGTCCAATTTCTTTGTGTAATCTCATGGATTTGAAGGTCAACATTTTCATGACCTGTGATTGTCTCGGAAGTATATGCAAGCAATGGTGATAGAAACCTACATATTGCCATTTGATTTGGGATCGAATGATGACACCTAACCTGGGGATCGATTGTAGGCAATTGATTGGGATGCAACATGAATGAGATATCATGCATTTGGGGATCATTAGGCACGGGTTCAACAACCTGACACTCACAGGCATCCTCCTCGGATTCTCAAATGAGAGCAACCCATTGGAAATTGCCTAATTTCCATGGGTTTGCGGAGAGGACAGTCGACATGAGGGTTTATGAAGAGCACAAATTAAGTTTCTACATGGTCCTAAGGGCTTGGGAGCTTCATACAAACATTTAATGGCTTAAAGACCTAGGGCTTTCTAAGTTTGAGAGATATACCTCACCGAAGCTAATGTCTGATGGTTGCCAACTGTAGTGGTTACTATTGATGTTGCTAGGGATGCCACAATCTCACTGCTACCTCACTTGAGACAATGTATAAGGAAGGAAAGTGATAGGAAGTACTTGAGTTTGCAAGTAACCCTAAGGGTAATATTTGAGTTTGCAAGTAAACCTAGAAAGAATCGACAAAAACAACGAGTAAAAGGGCTGATTTCAATGAGAAATCAGCAAGAACAAAGCGAGAATTTTAGCAGATTGGAGAAGAAAACACAAGTATACTTTGATTCAAACAACAAACTAGAAACACAAAGCAAGATACAATTTTCTTCAATTCGAGAGGAAGAAATATTCTCCAAATCTCTAGCAAACCTATAGCCCAAGAACACAAATCCTAGATCTCAAAATTGCATTCAATCTCAAGATGCCCTAACCCTAACCTCCAAAAGACTAATTAAAGCCAAAAGAAGTTTACAAAATCCCTAAAAAGCCCTTAATTCAAATTTTCCCTCCAAATTGCTATTTAAAACAACAAGTGAGCCCCATTAAAGCTTCCGCCCTCTTCCTGGTTCCGCCCCATGCTGGGTCGTCGGTTGTAGACCTGAACTGGTCCATGTTGTACCAGTTCATCCGCCCCTCCTGGGCCGGCCACATAACATTTCCCCTCCCAAAAACTCACCTTGTCCTCAAGGTGGAAAAAAGGAAACTGGACTCTCATTCTGTCGTATGGTTCCCAAGTGGCCTCAAACTCGGGAATGTCTTTCCATCTAATAAGCACTTCATTGTTCCCCTTTTTATCCACTCTAACTCCACCAATCTGGTAAGCTTATAATTTAGCCATCAAGCCCATTAAAGTTCTTGGACTGCCTTCTATATTGAATATAGCCATATGACTCAGCTTTCAAGCAACGTGAAAATAATGCAACATGCTTAATCATAATTAAATTATGTCCTTCCAATGAATATAAGACCCAACCCAACATATATTCGAGGAAGTTCCCATGATATGAAACTCATTAAATAAACTAAATAAACAAAATAATTAAAATTCATATACATTCACCGTAGTCAGCTCATTATACTTAAGAGGGGGCAATTTATATCAGCTAATGATATTTCTTGGATGTTAAGGCTTACGGAGTTAAGGAGCCATGTGATCTTGATGGGGCCTCCATTTCCCAAACACCACTCATAAATTAAAATCCAATATTAAGCCTAAGTCTAAAATTATGGTTGTATAATCATCGTTAATTGAGAGCGCTCTTCTGCAAGAGGAGGTGGGGTGTGGATAAATAGTTATAGGGGCTTTCATCTGTATGAAGTCTTGGCCCTTGATCTAAATAACAATGGTATATTTAGCATGAGTTATTTAGATCCAAGGGTTCCCTTCTCATCATTTGGATGCATATTACTTTCTCAGCTTATATGTTATCTTGATCCTGTGTAATTTGTATTTTTGCTTGTTGTAGGAAATTTTCTTGCAACTATTATCTTATGTAACTTGCTCATTAGATATTAATAAAATTTTGATGTTAACAAAAAAAAAAAAATGTTTAAGGTTATTTTCGGGCAGCTTTTTAGAACTTTGCTATCTAGAAATCTGCCATACTTTTGTTTGACTGCGACCTTTTTGCTGCTTTTCTATAAAATACCTGTGATAGGAAGTTGCAATTTTTAACCAGACTAGAGTGTGGTAGTTGTAAGAAATTTTTATCTGATTTTTTTCGAAAGGGAAAAGCATATAACACCTGAAAGATTTTTTAGTAAGTGGTGGATACACATAAAAAATAAGTAGAATGTACAATATGTTGGATATCTCGAACTCGATATTGAGCAATATTATCTTTAGAGTCAGGTACTGATATTGAACCAACACCTAGCATAGATTTTACATAAGAAAGAAGACGGAGATTAGAATTACTTTGTCCAATTTGAAATGAGAATGTGCACCCTCAATAACATTAAAAAAAAAAAATCTATTTTTTCCTACAACGTTTCTATGCTACTTTCACAAAAAAGTTGTGGTCACCATAGACGGACCCTTAATTTGGAATCATTTAACTGGGCATTGATATGAACTAGATATATTATAATTCCAATTTTAAAAGAAATGGCTATGTAGATCCTCTGTGGATGGCTTGCCCCTACAATGTTTTTAGCTATTTGCTATTCGTTAATTCTTGTGCTTTCTCATTCAATTTATGGTGATTTATGTCCAAGGTGCACCTTTTGTTCAAGCAGGTATTTATTTAATATTGGTGTTCTTCTCCAGGTAGAGCTTTTTTGTGTAAATCACCTAATAAACTGTTCTTTGGAGTCCAATGAGGAGGTAATATGTATGGAATTTCGATTTACTTTGAGAGATAATGGGATGAGAGCTGCATTCCAACTCCTGCACATGGTTCTTGAGGTAAATTTTAGTTCTATCAACTTTTATTTAGCATTTCAATTTCTTTTAAAATTCACTTTGATCTGTCTTTTATTTAAAATTTTTTTCATCATCAAAATGCATTTTAGTTGAAGATGTTTTTCTATAACTTTTTTGAATTCCTGATTATTGATGCCGTTGTAATTCTTACACTTGATTCCCTTGAATAATATTATCTTTTTTCTTGGATGTTGATTGAGAAAAAAAAAATAGAACATACATACTTGCCTTCGATGGCGGCCCCACTTCGCGATGGATATCGCCAAACGAAGCAACACCCTTTTGTTCAAATCAACATAAACCGCCCTCTCGCTTCTTTAAAACGACTGATAGTAGCGGTTGGAGGGGACATTCGCACTCCTCCATCGCTCATCTCCCTGTTGGCTTTCTACTACCCGAAGCCTTCAACCCCTTGTTGACTTGTTGTTGTTCAACTTCGTTGTTTTTGCAGGATCAGGGTCTAGGGTTTGCTTTTCATCTTCTCTTTTTATTGTTGTTGCTCGTCTTCGTTGCTTCGCAGGCGGTGTAGAGATTGCACACGTAACTACTTCGGCTCCTTTGTTGTCGTTTGACTTCACTTCCACGACTCCTTCATGGTCGTCCGACTCCTTTGCTTCTTAGGTGTAGAGATTGCTCGGGGCGCTCCTTCCACTCCTTCATTGTTGTCAAACTTCTTTGCTTTGCAGGAGTATAGAGATTGGACGAGCAGCTCTTTTCCCCTTTATTATTGTTCAACTTCATTATTTTGCAGGAGGTATAGAGATTACATGAGTCATTTCCTTGACTCTTTTGTTATTATTCGACTAAACTCCTTCGACGACTACCTTAGCCGACTCGATCAGACTCTTCCATCCCTCCCTTTTTTATGATACAATATATATCATATATATTTTATTATATATAATATTATATGATATTATACATATACATATAATAAAAATGACATTAAACAGATAAATACAAGATGGAATATTAAGCAAGTGTCGAAGACCCTGCGTCGTTGTACCTTAGGTCTGGCCGGGATGGTTTAAAATTCGAAGACCTGCTTCGTGATCTTAGATCCGGGCGGATGGTTTTAAATTGGAAGCCTCCGTGTCATTGATTTTAGATCTGGGCAGGATGAAATAAAATTCGAAGACCCCTTGTAGTCGATCTTAGATCTTGGTGGGATGGTTTTAATTTGAAGACCTTATGTCGTTGACCTTAGGTCCGGGTAGGAAGAAATCTCGGTAAATGCCGTCCCGATTTCTCCTTCGGTAGGGAGGGGACGTCGGGATGTTGCCGAAATTTTTCGGGAAATTATAAAAATTTTCTTTTTGGAACAATTAGTGAGAGTCAAAATTAATTAATTAATTACAATAATTTAATTAATTAATCGAGATTAATTAAGCCAAAATAATTAATTTGATTAACAAAATTGATTTTTTTTAAATCTGTGAGTTTTAAAAATAAAAAAATAATTTTAAATACAAAAGCAATTTAAAATTTGAGTTAAAAATCAAGAGCATCTTTAATTAATCAATTGAGCAATTATAAAATAAAAATGCAATTAGAAAAGAAGGCGGCAAGTTCTACTAATTGACAGACACATCATTGCTTTCCAACTCTCCAAAACTCTCAAGCTCTCCAAATCTGTACAAATTCTTCAAACAATAACTCTCCAACTCACAAACCCTCACAAACTGGACCTCTCCGAAACAAAAGCTCTCAAACTCTCTAAATAGAGAATCTCTCAAACTTTCCAAACTCACAAGTATGTTGCTATCCAAATCTTATTCAAAACTCCCCACAGCAAATTGAAATTCTTCTAAACAAAAACACTATGTAAGCATTCCAAGATCCCTCCTACACGAGCTCCTGCAACTATTTGTTAGCTCCCTGAACTGCTGCAAGTACTACTTACCTGCAAACAAGCAAATAAGAATTATTGCATTGTAAATAAATTAAATTAATGCTGAAAAATAATAAATATAGCTACTGCAGGTAGAAAAAAAATACTGGAAAGAAAGCTAAGTACTAAAAAAACTAGTAAAGTAACAGTGTCAGAAAATGAGCAGAGTAGTGGACTACTGCGATAAGAGAAGACCATGAGCACAAAACAACTAAAACACTGACGTAGTGTCAAAATATCGAAGTGTCAAAATCACAAACTCAAATTAACTCAAACAAGTACATAACAAATCTCCAAACATTGTATAAGCAACTACTGTCTATTCACACAACCAAAATGTTTGGGTAGCATTGTTTATAAGAACTTGATTGTAAGACTCAGTACCTGATAACTTTCAAAGGAAAGCAGTAAGCCCGACCTTATGGGAGAGTTTTGAGTAAAGTTGACATAACCCCTAACCTCCAATTAAAACACCAGCCACTTTTAATAAAAGCCGCAAGTCCGACCTCTGAGGAAAATATTTAGGTAATAACACAACCTTAGACCTCACACGGGAATCCTAGTCTATAAGGCTAGGTTGTAAGACCCATCGTTAGATAACTTATGGGAAAGCAATAAGACCTATCCAACCAAAATCTTCGGGCTACCTTTAGTAGAGGTCGTAAGTCCCACTAACTAGGCTACTTTCTAATGAAAGCATAACTCCCTACCTAATCTAATCACATGGACAACTCTTGTTGAATAATTAAGGAAAAAGCCTCAAAAGAGAATTTCATCTTTAGATAATGCTTGAAATACAATAATTATGATTCTAATTCCTATGTTGAAAGTATGTGGAATTTATATCGTAGGATCTCCTACACAAATAATTAAACCATTTGGGCATCCTTAGCTTATAGGGTTAGGTTATAAGACCCACCAACGGGCAACTTCTAAATGAAGTCATAAAACCCACGTTTTAAAAAAATTGTTAAGTAAATAGCAATGATCATAAACCTTAAACAATCAAATTTAAACCTATGGGCATTATAGTCTAAAGGATTAAATTTTAAGACCTATTTTCAGGCAACTTCCTAAGGGAAATAATAAGTCCTACCCAAATAATTAAAACCTCCGGGTAGCCTCGCTGTAGAGTTAGGTTGTAAGACCCATCCTTGGGCTACTCATAAATAGAACAATAAGCCCCATTCCAAATCAAATCCCCGGGCTACTTTCTATGAAGCTATAAGTCTCAACCTAAATCTAAATACCTGGGTTACTTCTTAAAGAAGCCATAAGACCCTCTACAAACCAAACTCCTGGGTTACTTCTAAACGAAATCATAAATCCCAAACTAAATTAATTTTTTGGTTTTCTAATAGAAGTAAACCCCAAATCACCCAATAACATTAAAACCCATATTTAATCACTTCAGTCTACTCGGGATCCCTGAGATAAGGCAATCCATGGCTGCTAATTAGATTCCCTGGACATTACGGTCAATGATTGTTAGTGTTGATAGATTGAAATCTACGATATACCCGGGACGACGAAACCATAGGATCTTGATCGGGTTTACCTCCATTTTCCCCACTATTGAGATTAAAAATATCTAAAATTTATTCATATTTAATCAAGAGTTCTCTCTTACGTGTTAAGAGGGGTAATTAACTATGAGTGTTTGCACTCATGTGAATTAAGGACCCCAGATCTTTAAACCCTGGCACTATGGAAATCTGGTTAACTATAACCTGACTTAAGGGAAATAGAATCCTACAGCTGCAAAGTGGGATTCATGCATTCATGACGTTTTTTCTTGAGCAAACATTGGATCAATCCTCATTTATGGAAATATTATTTTTGTTACCCAATGGATTTGGGTGGCACTCACATAAATGTCAATATTGCAAAATGGTGCATGCGATGGCGCACGACGTGGCGCGTGTATAATGCTATTTGCTTGGTGCGACTCGTCAAAATATCATGTGCTATTTGCGTCATGCATAGGAAATGACACATGATGCAAGATGCAAATGACGTGTTCTATTTTATTAATATATTATAAATTTCAAATTATAAATTATAATTTAATTTTCTAAGGTTTATATGTTAATATCATAATTAATTATTAATTAACTAAACATCGAATTAATAAATATAAAAAAAATTTAAGGGATTTAACTTTTTGATGATTTAAAGCTATCATTTTTGCTATTTGGAGGGATTTTGGTTAAATTATGGTTAAATTATGTTCAAATCTATTAATGGAAGTATTTGTAGGATTTCAAGTTATCTTTTTTTGTACTTGACATGATATTTTTGCTTAAATTTTGTTCTAATCAACCTATTGTTTGTTATTTAATGGTATTTAATATTAATAAATATGTATATTTTAATTATTTTATATTGTGTGCCATGTTTAAAGTGAGACGCGCCACGTCATGCGCTATGCACCATGACTCTATAGGGAATTTTGTTCCATGGTATGCCATTCGCCGTTGACAAGTACGGGGACAAATATATCATAAAGTCAAGTCTCAAATAGACTCTATCATTATACTAGCCAGAACCACAGTCTCTTTAAAGCCACAATTTTGTTGGTTCTTTTAAGAGGAACCGTGCTGTATCTATCAGATTTCAAACTGCTACCACAGTGGAGTGGTAATTTAAGAATATTGTCTTAGAAAACTTGATGAACTCAAATGGTAGTTTATTCTTCAGGTTTTGTTTGCCAAGGTTAATTGGAAATTATTGACATATAATGGTTGTTTTTTGTGCAGCATAGTGTTTGGCTTGAAGATGCGTTTGATAGAGCCAGGCAACTGTATTTTTCATACTACCGATCCATACCAAAAAGCCTTGAACGTTCAACTGCACACAGACTTATGTTGGCAATGTTGAATGGTGATGAGAGATTTGTTGAGCCAACACCGGATTCATTGGAAAAATTAACACTTCAATCAGTTAAACATGCTGTGATGAATCAGTTTGTTGGTGACAATATGGAGGTTCAAAGTCATTTTTTTGAGATTTTACTTTTCCCTTTCGAAAAAATTTATCTTTCTTAATTTTTTTTATTGTCCTAGAGAAATTATTCATAGCACACCAATTAATTTTTGGAGGATTTTCGTAAATACCATCAAAATTATTTATATTTGCATACATTTAACACTTAAAAATTAATATTTGCTCAAATACCGACAAAAAATATTTAAATATATTAAACTTCTACTCCCTTAATCTAATGTTAATCCTATATGCGCCAAGGCTAGCAAGGTGGTTCATGTGGGTGAGGCTAAGGAATTGATCATGATACATAAAGATGCTAGGGTTTTGTAGAGTAGAGTAGGAGTAGATGGGGAAGGTGAGGTGGACCAACAAAAGAGAAGTTGGAGGTGAATTAGGTGGTCATTATTGGCAGGAGGATGGACATTGGAGTACAAGTGGATATGGGTTGGAATGATGGAGAGGGCAAAGGGATGGGGATGGTGGGGTCCTAGAAGAGGATTTAGTTTCGTATGATGTGGGTAGGAATGATTTGTAAGGCTAGGGGGGTCGATAAGTGATTGGTCATTACAATTTGACGTGGATCTAACTAAAAAAATCCCAGTTTGGATTAACCTGATTACATTTTAGGTTGGATTTTGGTCTGCAATCTTGACCTTAAAAAAAAAATTGAGTCGGATTTTGGTTGAGCCACAAATCCGAAATTTATTCAAAATTGACCCAAATGTTATTCAATTTGGGGTTATAGATGTGAGGTTTGAGTTAAATTGGTCATTTTTTAGTTCATTTGGTCTTTTTTGGGTTAAATTAGTTTGCGTTACAAAATGTATGATTCGTATAATGAACTAAAATTGGGTGGGCTCGGTTCAAACATTTTGACCTTTTTAATAAACGAGTTAGGTTAGGCTTAACTTCAGGCCAGACCTAAACCTGACTCCTCAACCCGAACTGACTCCCCTATGTAAAACTTTGCCATAGCTTATAGATGTCCATTCGGCAAGCAAATTTGTCAAATACAATGACAGGTTGAGGTTGAACTACTCTAACCAGTGGTGGCCGTGAGGAGCTTGCATACGGCTCTTTTGGTTTGCTTGATTTGTGGTGGAATGTATAGGCAGTGGAGGATGGTGAAGGTGATGTTTGTGGTTGCTTTTTGGTGAAGGAATTCATAAGGATAGTGAGGAGAGGAGAGGAGTAAGGATAGATTAAACGAGTGGTCATATTAATGTATTTAAAATTTTTGGTGTTATGCAAGTAAATAATGAATTTTAAATATAAAAAATGTAAATATAGATGATTGAACAGTACGAATGATCACTAAAGTTTTAAATGTTTATTTATTATAATTTTTCCATCTGTTAGTTATTTTTACCTTATTGCAAGCAATTCAGGTAAGTATTGTTGGTGACTTCTCGGAGGAAGAAATTGAATCTTGCATCCTTGATTACCTGGGTACCGTTAGAGCAAAGCAAAGTTTTGACTCCATGACGTTTGAGCCAATTATGTTTCGAACAACTCCATCCGATCTTCATTTTCAGCAGGTATAATTTAATTAATAATCTATTCTTGCAAAGAATGTGCGGTCATATCTTGCTCTGGCTTCCAGCTTTGATGTTGTTGAAGAGTAAAAACATGTACAGATTCTTTGTTTCTAATTCATTCTCTATGTGGTGGACCATTTATGTTGGTTTCTTATGTTCTTCATACCAGCTAGTTTTGGTAGGAATGCTACGACCATGAGTTATTTACTGGAGTAGATTCTTTCACAACAACGGTAGCATGGGTTAATATGATCAAAGCCCAGCTACAGTAGAAATAACTAAGAGAATATATGATGCATGCAAATTTCAGTTTATTTTAGTTTTTATTGTAATTTGAATGCTATAGTTTTTTTTTTAAAATTTTTTTATGCTATCCTATGATGGAAAACATCCAATGATCATAAGTAGGTAGTGCTTGGGCATGACAAACCTTGAGTGTGCTAGCTACTTGAGTTTTTTGATCTTTGGGCTGTTGGTTGCCTCTCAGGTTGGGCTTGGCTGCTTGGTTTTGAGCTGTGTTTTTTGGGAACTGCTTGGTTCTAGCTCATTAATGCTTGAACTAATGTTTTAGCTCATTATTATGTAAAGTTATTCCACTTGTTAGCTCATTATGTGGAGTGGAATTCTTGCCTTTTCCTTTCTCTGTCTCTTTGGTTTTTTCCCCTGGTTCTCCTTCCCGTGGCCTGTTCCGATCTCCCTAGCTATTGGTTCCGATTCCCTGTGCTGCCCCTTCTGTTCCTCCCCTGGCTTCCTGTCCCGCGGCTGCTTTTCTCGATTTTTTGTGAGGTTTTTTGGGTGCTATTTTGGAATATTTGTTGGCCTTCAATTTCCCCTTACCTGATTGGTTTGGTTGTAGGTGGTTTGGCTACTCCCTTTTCTCTTATAAATTGGAGATGTTTTGAAACATAAAAGGTTGTTGAACATTTGAGCAAAGTCTCTACAAAAACTTGAGGGTTTCTTCCTTGGAAAAGCTTGAGAGCTTGTTCCATTTCTTTCTTTCTATCCACTATTTCGTCTTAGGCTTCTAACCTCTTCTTCTCTCTGCAAGTTCCACGCCACTTGTATCTTTCTTCTTGAGCTATTGGAAGGTGTTTGTTGGCTGATTTGGTGACATTTGCCGGAGGAGTTTTGGTGGACGTTGGACCTTGTAGCTGTGGTGGATCTTTGGTTTGCAAGCCCTTAAGCACTTATCTTATTTTGCCTACTTTTCGTTGCATGTGAGAAAACGCCTTGCCGGTTGTTCTGAGGATAGTGTTTTTTAGTTTTAATTTTGTTTCGTTTGTTTAACTTTTGTTTGTCTTGGTGTTTGTTTGGATTTCAGCATTCTAGTTCGAATTGAGTTTTGTTCTACTAGTCCTAATGTTCTCCTCTTTTGGCTCTTTCTTTCTAGTTTGCCTGCATCAAGATATAAGCTTGGTAGAGGATTCGTGATAAGAAAGTATCAGCCTAACTGGTTGAGCTAGTCTCTTCTGCCTTCCCCCACCCTCCCAGCCCAAAGAAGCCAAATTGAAAGAGGCTTTCTATGCCATCTAGCATTTCTGAGCAAAGGAAAGCACTTCAAGAGCTTTTCACTTTTTTATGAAGGACGTGCTTCAAGAAAAACACTAAGATATTAAACATACTCTTAATGAACTGAAAACTAATTTTGCAGGTCGCACATGCATTCATTGTTTTTGTAGATCAATAAATAGATGTTTGATATGAACTAAGCATTTAATCACAGCTTGAGTGAATATCTACCAAAATAAACTATCGAGATGCTCTAGGAGGGCAACATTGTCTAAAGTTGAATGCGGCATTTCAGCGTTTTGTGTTGAAGATTTATACTTGCAACTTCTGTGTGCCCAACTAAAAGGTGAATATGTTATAATGAGGAAAACATTCCAAAATTTTAGCAGTGAAATGGTCTAGAAAAATAACCTGATAGGACCTGCCCGATCTGGAGCATATCAAAGTGATTTGAAGCTTGCTCGAACTCTAGAACTGAAACTGGTGGAATTAGGAAGACGAAGAAGAGAGGAAACCATAACAGAAAAATCATCTTAGCTTCCCTGTTCAGCTAAAGAATGTTGTATTTAAACTTTCAATCAATTAGTTATCTTTTTTATTATTGAATGTAACAACATTCTTGAAATCAATCTTCTTGTAACTAATTACAACTCATATATTTGATACAATCAGTAACAACAACAATTCCAACACATTCCCATTTTCTCTTCCATCTATCGTTGGTTGCTTCCTGCCCATGCAATTGGCCACAAATTCTATCATTCATTTGGATGTTTGTCTCACGCACACGCCACATCCCTCCGAAGAGCTTGTGAGGTTTGCATTATAACCACTCATTCAAGTTCTTACCTTTCATCTAAAAAAAAAAAAAAAAGTTCTTACCTTTCATCTGTTATGATCTTTATGTAGGAATTTAACATAGCCATGCCATATTGAACTGTCCAGTTATAATTTATAAATTCCATCTAGAGCCACTGAGCATGTGGAACATATTGCAAGCAGCATAAGACACAAATATTATCATGCAAAATATATTATCATTGTAACATGTGAATGAAAATTGTTAAAAACATAAGTTAACAAGGATACATCAAGGATGCTTAACTGATGGAATAGGCAAATATATGAAATGTCTCCACAAGATTGCTTTTAAAACATATAGCTCATTGAAGAAAAAAAAACTTGTAATTGAAAACATAAAAACTTAAGCATCATTGCAATATATGAATGGAATTATGGAAGGGATTAATAATTGTTATCTTTCAAGGCTAAAGCCAATAAAGCAACATGAATGGAAGAGATTAATTATCGTTATCTTTCAAGGCTATAGCCAATAAAGCATAGAACTGTAATAATCCTTATATAATATGATTATTTGAACCATGCAGCCCATTTAGTAGTAAAGGCTCCCTGGTCTTAGAACTTACCTCTGATGGCACAACATAGCCGAGGGCTCTCTGCCCTGACCAACGACATCCAAGTTATCAATAAAAAAATTCTTAGAGTGGTACAAGGATTAGCCTTAAGCCCATATATTTTTGCTTTAGTCATGGATGTTTTCACTAGACATTTGCAAGAGGTTGTACCCTGGTGTATGCTTTTGTTGTTGATATTCTTCTTGTTGATAAGACTAGAGAGGGAGTTGAAGGTAAACTTGAATTATGGAGGTCAACTTTAGAGTCTAAAGTTTTTTATTTAAGTAGATCTAAAATCAAATATTAGGAGTGTAATTTTAGTAGTAATAAATTTACTGGTGGATTGTAATTTTGGACGATCAAGTCATTGATAAGAGTACATATTTTAGATATCTTGGGTCTAGTGTTCAAAGTGATGGTGAAATAGATAAGGTTATTATTAGTAGAATTCAAGTTAGATGGTTGAAGTGGAGGAATGCATCGGGCTTATTGTGTGATAAAAAAGTTTCTCTCAAAATTAAGCGAAAACTCTATAAGATGGCTCTGAGACTTGCAATACTTTATGGTGCAGAATGTTAGGCATTAAAAGAAAATCATAATATAAGTGTTGCAGAGATGAGAATGCTCAGTTGGATGAGTGGCTTTACTCTTAGAGACAGGATATGAAACAAGCATATACGTGAAAAGGTTGGAGTAGCTCCAGTGGAAGATAATAGAGAGAGTCTCCTTAGATTGTTTTGTCACATAAAATGACGGCCTTCTGATAATCCGGTTAGGAGAGTAGATGCATTATATTTGGCTTATGTTAAGAAACGTAGAGATAGACTTAAAAAGACTTAATTAGAAAATGTTAGAAATGATATTTCTTTATTTGATTTAAATGTGAATATTATTCTTAATAGAATATAATGTAGAAAAATGATTCATATAGCCGATCTCACGTAGTGGGCTAAAGGCTTGATGTTGTTGTAGAGTGGTACAAGTATTTTAGTAAATCTATAATGCCGAAATGTTGCAATTCTAAGGAATAGGATACCTATGCTGCCTGACACCAAGCTTAATATGAGAAATTATTAGTAAGCCTACTCTATACTGGAATAGCATCATTGGGCCTAAGCTTTGTTCCTTAACATTGATAGTCATCCTTGGTTAAAAAGCTTAATTAGTTCAACTCAATGTTTACTAAACATTCTTAATCTCCTAGGTTAATTAAGTTAGATAGAAGGTACTCCACACTTTCTCTAACTCAAAGTGCAAGTAGAAATGCCTCTCAAACACCACAAGTGCAATAAGGAAGCCTTATATTATATTATAGTTCTGGAGTTTTAGTAGCTTGAAAGGTTATCTACTGTGATTGGCCGATCACTAAGCATGTCTTGTCCATAATCATGGATCACTCGCCTTCTCACCTAGGCGATCCAAGCTTAGCGCAAACCACTTGTCGCTTTTGGAGCATTCAAGCAATCCCTCCTTGGAACTCACTTGCAAGCTTTCTGATGTAAGCACAAGTGCAAGAAAACTGACACAAAGAGAACAATGGATAGAACTCAAACTAGATTCTATTAAAATAGAAGTAGTCAACTAAAACACTCAAAATCCAACAAGAAAACACGAAGAGACTTTTTAAGAAACAAAGAAAAAAAAAAACAATGCTATCTTCAGACAACCGTCAGAGCTGGTTCCTCACATGCATCAAATTGTAGCTTAAATAAGATAAGTGCATAAGGCTAGCAATCCGATGGTCCACCACTGCAAGATCGTCCAATTCTTCCAAGAGATGCTTCTAAATCAACCAACAATCACCATCAAAGCTCAATAAGAAGGATACAGATGGAGTGGAACTTGCGGAGAGACGAAAGAGGTTAGAAGCCAAGACGAAGGGTGGAAAGAGCTCGCAAGATTTCCAGAGGGGATGAGAAGAAGAATGGAACAAGCTCGCAAGCTTTTCCAATAACCCGCAGGTTAATAGCAAATTTGCTCACAATAATCAACTCCCTTCTTCACAAAAACTTCTTATATTTATAGGCAAGATAGAAGAATATCAACAACCACTTTAATTAATTTCCACAAGAACCC